TCATTGAATTTAACTCCAGGAGACTATTTCGGCAGTCAATTTGACTGAAATGTGTTTTCTAAATGGCATCTGGTTTGCAAACTCTCTTGTTGCATAGCAGTGGTTTTAGCGTGTGCGTGAACGCAAGTCTTGGCAGTGGAGGGTTTCAAACAAGTGCAGAGAGCTGCGTGTTTGCTTTGAGAGCCGGGTGATGATGATGATGATGCAAAGCACTGGGCTGCGTATAAATTTTCATATGACCGTGAGAGAATATAGGACTGATGTCTGATGGTACTTAAGTAATGAAAGTTCTTAATTTCTTGATAGGTTTGAGGTTCAGAATCAAAAAAGAGATAAGGCTGTGGTTGAAAGCAAGCCAGACTGAAGACTTAGAATTAACATTGCATTTTGGGCAAGATAATTGACCATGGAGATGAAAAGTACATCTCTACCAGTTTGAGATAGCTCCTGCTGGTGTCTTTCATTAGTATTTTGTCTAGTCCAGTTTAAAATGTGATGCTTAGTGAGATTTCAATCACATCGTTAAGGCAACAACTTTTTCTTTGCCCAATAGCCAGCATCACTTTCTTTGTTTAGTTTTATCCTCTGGATTTGAGATGTGCCACACACTTTGCCCCAGCTCTTTCCTGGGATAATCAATCACTGCTTACCCAAACAAACCGCATGTTTCCCTGTATCTCGGGGTCCTAATTCTGCTCATGTTTTGCACCTCCGCAAATGTTTTCTGGGTTCTCATGGTGTCCTCGGGAAGAGCCTGGCCTTTCTCAGCAGACAGCCCTCACTTCTGGAATCCTTCTTGCTTCCACGGAGCCGTGTGCTGACAAAGCCAGTCTTTGTGACTGCTTGAGGAATGATGCAAGGCCCATCTGTTAGCTCAGGCTGATAGGAAAAAAGCAGCCTTTAAGGATGGCCTGTGGGTTGCTTTGTTTTTTCCAGAGCTTTCAACGTCCATATCTGACCAGTGAATCTCCAGAAACAATCTGAGTGGTCATTTCCTACTGGCAATGACTTTCTGCCATGCTTTTATTATTCTCACCTTGCATCCAAGCTTTCAGCAGCAGGTTTCTCACACAAATATATTTCAATGAAAGCTCGGTCATGGCTTATTTTTAAACATACCAGAGACACCTGTTCCTTCACATTTTTCAGATCAGTAACTTCAGATTTTCTTGTTATTCCTGTAGAAAATTCCATTTACTTATTAACTTTTGCTGGTATTAAATCAGTACCAGATCTAACTTTAGTTTTATGAATAGCTTTAGAATATTTCTTCCAACTGTAATTTCTTTTGTTCAAAAGATTCTCAATAAATATTCTTTCTTATGTCACCCACACAGTTTTTCTGGCTTGTCTCTAGTCTGTTCTTGCCAGATGTTTTTCCCCAAGCTTTTGTGATTAATGAAATGGAGCCACTGTACCCATGGTATTAGAAAGAAAAAAAAAGAAAAAAGAAAAAAGCTTTGAAAAGTTGGGGGTTTTTTTGTTGAGAAGTGCAATTAGTTTGACATTGCATTTGTATTTTTCCCAGCTGTGTTTCAAACTTTTCACATATCTTCATTTAAGAGCAGATTGCCTCCAAAGTTCTACAACGCCTGAACTTTTGAAATGGTAATGTTTTTTCAGTGCTTAAGTTATATGTGGCATTTGGCCCTTAAGAATTAAAAAATTGGTGATTTTTAAAATTTTGCTACAAATACTGTCTTAATCCCAGTTCATTCCACTCTATTCTGCTTTACCAGGTGGATGCCCATAGTAGGCACAGAGGGAGAGACTGTTTATATGATTGCTGATTTATGCAAAATAGCTCAGCTCCAGAAGCAGTTAGAATGAAAGGTAAATCTCATAATGATTTAACACCATACATATAACTTGTTCTTCATTCCACTGCCCCCACCCCAGTTAGCTTTTAGATCTTCAGTGAAGAGATGCTCAAACCTCTTGGGTCATGAGGGAATTGAACCTTCTGTGTCCTAGAAGGCTTCTTAACCATTTGATAAAGATAATCATCTTATTTTTGTTAATTGGGTCTAGAAAACTAGGTTCAATGCAAAATATTTGAAGAACTTAATAATTCCACATCTACCACAATTGAATCTTTTCTTCTGACAGAGCAAAGTTGCCCAATTCTGTGGCTGATTCATCTGCAGGAGAATCCTGCTATATTGTATAAAGCAGAAAAAATGAAGAAGTCATTGCTTCAGGGTGACAGAACTCTTGCTGTTTTCGATTCTGCCTGAACCAGTTGAAGAATCTCTGCAAAGAGAGCTCCAGGCTGCTCCCCCCTCAGCATGCAGGCTTGTGGGTTTGTTCTTTGGAGATCTCTGCCTTTCTCCTTGTACAGGCTGGACATCTGTAACTAGGTTTTTAGTTCTGCCCCAAAAACTCACAAGTTAGGTGTTCTAACATTTGGCTCTGTAGAGGAGCTGGTCCCTGTTTACTCCTCGTAGATACATGTTCTTTCTTTTTGTCTCTACTCAGCCTCTTTGGCGATAAAACCGTTTCTTACCTGCATGAATTGAAAATGGCAATTCTCTCTACTTCTATCTTTTTAAGCAATCTCAGGACCAGGACTCGTTGTTTAAGCACTCACTTCCCTGTGATGACGTTTTTATTAAGCTAAATAAATAGAGGATTTGTGAAAAAAACTATAAAAAGGCTGCAGTTTGCTAAGTAAGTTTGTGCTACTCTGATGATCAATAGCTTCATTTGTTTTATTGTATTGTATATCGAGTCTTTAGAGTTAACGTCTTGAGTCAAAAACATCAGTGAAACTTAATATCTAGTCCCATGCTATTTCAGATTTATTGAGTCAGCCTTTAGTAAGGAATTTTACGATGCCGACCTTACGTTACACACATAGCATGTGGTGCTGTTTGGATGGAAAAGAAAATGGTTGCAATTTGTTAAAATATTGCTGGAGCATTTAGTGCAGCAGCGAGGTCACTTTTACATCCCACATAAAACTGAGATGGATCCAGCTCCAAACTATCTAGGCTTTTGCTATGCTGGTTGGGAGCTTTTAGGAGCCTCCTGCCATTCCTTCGTTGGTGAATCCTGAATGTGAGACCAGCTCCAAGTATGTATTGCAAAAGGGATTCACTGGTAATGGTGCCCTGGAGTGTAAAATAATAATTGTTACAGCAGAAAACTCCAGAATGCATTGGTCAGGCATTGGAATAGGCTGCCCAAGGAGGGGGTTGAGTCACCATCCCTGGCTGTGTTTAAGAACTGTTTAGATGTGGTGTTGGGGGACATGGTGTAGGGGAGGACTTTAGAGTAGGGTAGATGGTTGGACTCGATGATCCCGAGGGTCTCTTCCAGCCTAGATGATTCTGTGATTCTGTGAATGCTTCTTCACTGACTGAATAAAGGCTTTGTTGAATGAAGGATCTAGAAAAATGTGCTCTCGATCTCATGAGTACTTTAAGACTATAAACACTTAATGAGTTTGAGGCTGATCCCAATTCAGTGATGATCCCAATTCATGGTGAACATATATAGTGTTCATAGTATGTAATGAACAGGAATTTGAACCGTTTACCATATAATGAGTTCAGTTTTCTTAAATGCTGTCAATGCTAACAAATTGTAAATCATGTGCTACTCTTTAATGTAATTTATAGACCTGAATTAAGTAAATGGAATGTGTCTTTGTGAATATGGTAGGTCCCTATTCCTTAACCAAACTCCAAAGACTTTGCAGACTGTTGGTATCCAAACTGTTGTTGTCTAATCCATATAAAAGAAAGTTAAGCACAAACTGTTATAAAAATTGCCTCATTCTTGGTGACCATAATTTTTTCTATTCTCCACAGATAGTAGTCTTTTTTTTAATATTATATCCACTTAAGGGAAAACTTTAAGAATTATTCCTACCTCCTGCAAGCACTGTCACAAATTTGAAGACTAGGTTCTCTGCCAGCAAGAGAGTGGGGTTATTATTGAGTTAGGATTTTTTTTTTTTTTGATTGATACTGGTAAGAACTTGCTGCTGCTTTTTATAGCGATGTGCTTCCTTGAAGGTTTGAACTGACGCTCTCTTTCCTGATATATTTATTCTTCAGAAATTCCTTACTATGCTATTATCATTACACAGAGGTAGGTCATGGCTGGCTGGTATTTTTGAAAAGTAGATCTGTGGTCAGATACCAGTTTTTTACAGAATGTAACCTTGTTGCTTTGAATTGTCAGTGGCATCTATAGCAAAAGCAGGGAAATTTGTTCTTGTTTTCTGCTTTTACCTCTTTCTTTCCCCTGGGAGCTGAGAGGAGGCAGTGGAATCACCACAGCATTTTTTTCCTAACGGAGGCAGAACAGAGTCATTGTACTCAGTGGTGACATCCCATGACTGGTGATGGGATAGTGATACTGCAGTCATCATTGGGAGGAACAAAGATAGTGAAAAATATGCTGGTACGTTGCTATTTTGGTAAAATAGTCAATGGATCCGTCAAGACACTTAATGTGTGTTTGTAGGCAAATTTTTCTTTTTTCAGGACTTTTTTTTAAGCACACAGTCTTCCAGCCTTTCCTTTCTAACCTTCAGATTCTTTTTGATCTGGAATAGAGCGATGCATCCATCTGTTCAAAATGTGGTATGAGCTGGCACAGGAAGGTCCAACTTTGAGTGTGAAAGTTCAAGAGGAGTCTTTGGGTATAAAGGAAATAGAATCAAAGTCTCTCCTGGTTGTCAGGCAGAGATTTGGAAAATGTTCAGCTAATGCCTATTATTCCCATTCCCCACACTGCCTTTCTCTCTTTGATCATAACTCCAGGGTAACCCTTGATAACGAAGGATGAAGGGTTTAGCCTGTGTCTTTCACTGTGCTGAAAATGTAACAGGTTTTCTGGCTGCAGAACTCTGAAAATCAGTGAGCAAGTCTGAGTGACTTGACAGGGAGAGATGGGAATGATGACAAACAAAAAAAAAAAAAGGCTACAGGCTACTCCTATATACATTAGCAAAACTGACTAACATTTCTGATGTCTCTTGTTCGTAGATCACCTCTCTTGTGACTCTCCAGCTGTTATCCATGGTTGGCCATAATGACCAGCTTGATGGACCACGGTATAAATGTACTGTATCTCTGGACTTCATCAGAGCTGTTGCCCGGTGAGCTTATTAGACATCATTTACAGTTGTATTTGCTGACTTGAAAGAGACTTCAAAACCAGTATTTGCTCAGTCATTAGCTCTTTGCAGACCAGAACAAAAATCTGTGGATGTTTGCTAAGAATGAGTGAATGAGTCTTATTTATGAGAAGCGTCAAACTTGAGATAAGTTTAGTCCAATTCTGTGTTGGAAAAAATTTTATCTTACAGTGGCAGTATGTGTTACAGTAACTGTCTTTGTGCTTAGTAAAGGTCAGGGGCTTCATGAGAAAATACTGCTCTAAAATGTCAGTCCTTTTCATTACCAAAAGGCATAATATGGTATTTGAAAATGAAATGGTATTTAGTTCTTAACAGTGTTTGTTGTACATACAATATAAAAACTACATAGGTTATAGAAATTCTTCCACATACTCTATCCTGTGTGGTCTGTAGTTGATACAAACTAATTCAACAAATGAATGTTGGTACCTCAATGGCTCTGTTAATTCAGAGCCTTCAGGTTTGGAGTTTGAGAACAGTTCCAGGTTCTTCAGGAGAGATGATGATAAATTACAGGCAGAAATGCATACAGTATATAGGCAACAATCAAACCTATGTCTCATTTGTATGCAATGCCAGCAGCATTACCTCACACCTGTTGCTGCAGCCAGCTTATTAGCAGGTCTTGGATGAGGAGTCTACAGCCAAAACAGAGCCCAGAAATGACATGTGGCGAAAACGAGGAGCAATATTCTCAAGGCCAACTCTTCTCTGTACTGTGGGACTTCAGAGGAACCCCTGTAGACTGCATCCCATAACCCAGTTGGACATGTTGCTCTCCTCAGCTATTAAGTGTCCAATAACCTTGTCAGCAAACTCCACAGACACACTTATTTCAATTTGCAGATGGACAGGCTGTAGAATGAAACCTCATCTGGTTACAGGATCTCCACAACTTCACTATGTCAATTTGCTATTCCCAGCAATAAAGTTGCTTGTGAAGGATGCCCTGAAAAAGCTCCCGTTGGTACCAAGTACAGCAGACCCTTTTCTCAGGAACATGGATTGATCACTGTGTGTACAGACGTCCGCAAGCTCTTGTCTCTGCTCTAACTCCAGTGGTGAATACAGAGACCAGTTCAGAAACTCTGTATGGACTATGAGGGTCCTTGAATTGAGACACAGGAAATTATTTCTCTGTCCTTGCAACTTTAACACCCTTAGAAGTTATATTCACTCCATTAAAGTTGCTGGAAGGTAGAGGGGGCCAGAACACAGGACCAAAAGGTGTGCTGTGCAGCTCATGGTTACCGGAGAAAGTAGTTGTTGGAGACACTGACACTTCAAACCTCAGTGTGTGGCACAGAGCTTTGGCTTGTTTTCCTTTAGGTCAGATTTGTGTGTGTGTATATATCCTGACTGACTTTTCCTGCATGTTATGAGGAAGAAAACTTTTTTTTTTCCCCAAAAAAAGTGCCTTGGAAGTGTTTCTGTGCTGCATACATAGGGCCATTTAGATGAGCTGACAGATTTTAAAGTTGGCCTGTTCTACTCTTCTTCTGTTCCCCCCCCTTTTTTTTTTTCCTTGCTTTGTTCCTTTGTTTCACTTTTTAAATTAAGTATATTTTCCAACCCACAGTCTTTGTTAATAAGGAGGATGATCCATAAAGATACAAGGTTTCATGAACCCATGATAAAAGGACTTCCCCCTTGTATCAGTGGGGCTAGCTACAGGGCATGATCTTCTGGGCTTTAAGAAATTTCATTTTCTAGCTGTGCCATAGTCTTGCAGCTGCCTGAAGTTTTTAACCACTCATGGGAGAGGTTATATTTGTTGTACAGAGGGAGCTACTTTACCATTACAACCAAAATACACATCAAGTAAGCAGCCCATTCCCTGATTCTTTTTTCTTTGTTACTGTAATAGTAATAAGATAAGTTTGTTAGGCACTAAAATCTTCAGATACCTCAGCATTGTTACTGTCTCAGCCTTGCTACTCTAGTGTACTTCCTAATGGAAGGCTGAAGAGTGCAAAGAGCAGGACAGAAAACCATGCTCTCCTCATGCCATTCAAGTTGTTCAGATTGTCATTTCATTTTCCTGTATTTTTTAAGCAGAAGTGAAATTTGCATTTAAAATAAAACAAAAGCCACCTGTTTGGCTTTGGGTTTTTTTAAAGAGTAGAAAACATAGAATCATAGAATCGTCTAGGTTGGAAGGGACCTTAAAGATCATCTAGTCCAGCCATCAACCTAACTCTGACCCAAAAAAAAAAAAAGAAACCACCAAAAAAACCCAAAACGTAATGGCTTTTCCTGGTGGCTTTTAACATTATAACCACTGGCCATGCCAAGTCTCTCTTTAGTATCACAGAACCTCATGTCTGGCTCTATTCTGTTGTGCACATTCAGTCTTTGCAGAGGTATTCCCATGCTTTTTACTACGTAGTGCTAATTGCAGATTTGGCTGAAGGTAAGGTTAGACATTTCTTTGTTAGAAATCTTTAGTTTCTGGTTTAGGAATTTCAGACCTAAGTCCATAAATTTTCTGTAGCTGAAGTAGGGATCTCTTAATGTTTGTTGAATGTAATGGATCTTTTCATATAGTCTCTAATGAACCCAGTTGTTATGACAGGACAATTGTGTTTCATTTAGTTGATAAGGTCAGCATTTGTTACCGTGTGATTTTGTTTCTGTGGAAAGCCTTGTAACTAAAGCACTTTTATTGAGTGACACAATGTCATGTGAGTCTAGCAGTGGCAGTTAATTTCTTTAATTTTGTTACTGGATTATTAAGTAGACTCAAACATGGTGTCTTGTTATGCATCTTGGGGATTTCTGAACTTTTCCTCACTCCAATATGAAGTTTTACAGAAACTTTTTGAAAAGTGGGTTATAGAATGATGTGTGAACAGAGAATATTAAATGATTGTAGTCTAACAAATAAGACATTCAGCCAGTTTAATCTCACTTAGCATTGTGAGTGGTTATTTTTGCATCATTGAATACTTTTTTAAAAAAACTTTTAATTTTATGCTTGTCATTATATGCAGTAATTTGCATTATTTATTCAAACAGTAAACCCCAAAGTCTGAGTGTTAGATTGTATAGCAGAATGAGTTTAGAGACAAAAAAAATAATTATATGTTTTAATCTACTGCTGTTTCGTTCTGCCTGCCATTAAAGTACAAAAGTATACATTAAAATCTTCTATCCTATTGAGTGGCATTCTTCAATTTTTCAAATTTAGCTATGAACATGGGTCAACTAGTGTCAAGACTGAAAGAACGCAGACTGCAAATGAGTGCAGATGAAGGAGTTACGTAGTACATGCTAAAACAGGTGGTTTGGAAGTTGAACAAAACATTCAATAGCATAAAAGATTGCTGCTTTGCATCACCAACTAGAGGATCATGTTTACCATATGAAAAATCTAATCTTATTAACTTTTATATGTTTTTACTGCTTAATGATTGAAATAATCTTCCAGTTTTTACTAGAAAGCTGCTTTATTTCTTTTTTAGAATCTTACAAATTTTAAATAATCAGAAGACAGGTAAATAACACTAGAAGTTCAACAATTCATTGATTCTTGATTGCATTTCTTTGGGGGTTATTGCTTGATTTTGACTGTGCAGGAAGTCCCGCGTGTGCTGTCTCCAAACAGGTTAAGGTCTTAGCACTGTTAAGATGATTTGCTCTAATATACTGTGTTTTTGTTTATAGGACCGTGAACTTCGACATAATAAAGTACTTGTATGATTTCTTGTGAAAACAAGCTTCACAGCCATATGGACACTGTGACAATGACTAAGGCAAGCTGTGTTCATCTCTCTACTTAGCTGGCCAGAAAGAAGAGTATTTTGGCTCTTTTGGATTTGTCCAAACAGGTGCTGGCCCAGCATGGAACCTGATGAAAATACTCTGATTGGTCTGGGTGGATCTGAGCAGAGGACTATTTACCAGGGACCCCGTAGTATTTGGAAGCAATGTGTTAATTATAAACAGCAGGGTTTGAGCACAATCTGTTCTACTCTTAATGATGTTATCTTAACACTGAAATTGCCTGAAACCCATTTACTTAGGACTGCATTTTGCTCTATGAACTCTCCCCAGTGCTTTGAACGTGGCAGCAGCCCTTGTTTGTATGCCCAGTCTTTTCACTTCCTCTCCGCAGGAATCTTTGCAGTTGCCTGCCAAAGCAGCTTTTCCCGAGGCCACCATTTTAGGAGAGTGGAGTAGCAAAATATAATAAACATAAGAACATATTTAAAATCAAGCTGGTATAAATCCTTCTTTCTCTTCAGTCATATGTAGGCAGACTGTTACGCTGTTATATGGAGATCACAATGATAGGAAACTCCCAATTAATCACCATACTGTCTTTTTGCGGACCGTTCATAAATGTTGACTATGAATTTATTTTTACAAAGCTTTATTTTAAAAACTCATTGATTGTTAAAAGTTAAAGTCAAACATGAAAGGTTTTATTTTTGTTTAAACATTTTACAGTCCTTTTATGCTTATCCACTATATGTAACGCTGTATGTTTGGAATGAATGCACGCTAAAGCAACACACTGTGTAATGGCTTTTGTAACAGTGTCTCTCCTGCAGAGGAGGACAGCACAGCTGCCTTTCCATCAGAAAGGGAGAAATTCAACAGGTGACAGAGTATTCCTGCAGCAGAGCCCCAAAAGAGTCGGAATAATGAATAATGAATGTGGTGCTATAACAGAACCTCAGTTTTGGACATACATGATGGAATACACTACAGTTGTATTTGTCTCCAGTTTACATGTAGAGGATTCCTAACTGCCACTACTTTTATGGGATCCCCTGATCCAGTTTGAGATTATTGTCTTCATGGATCTGAAGATTTCTGTCACCCCCTTGGAAACTCCAGGTCCCACAGCCTGTTTCTCAGATGTTTTACTCCTGAATACTGGTCTTTGACTGTTTGACAGTACAAGGCCATGTCCTGTGTTGACCATTATGGTTTTTTCCAAGGAAAAAACCATCATTCTTTCCCCACCTTGTTCTGATGTGGGAGATGGTCAAATACCCTGAACATGTGTAGCTTCTTCTTTTTTTCTTTTTTTTTTTTCTTTTTTTTTTTAGCCTGTTTCTCAGATGTTTTACTCCTGAACACTGGTCTTTGACTGTTTGACAGTACAAGGCCATGTCCTGTGTTGACCATTATGGTTTTTTCCAAGGAAAAAACCATCATTCTTTCCCCACCTTGTTCTGATGTGGGAGATGGTCAAATACCCTGAACATGTGTAGCTTCTTCTTTTTTTTTTTTTTTTTTTTCTTTTTTTTTTTATTTCCCCCCCCCCTCCAATTTTGGATGTGTAGACAGGCTTCTGGATTCAGACCCAAATGAAGGAGTTCCAGGTGAATCTGACAAAAGCGTCTTTCTGGCCAAGCTGTCTCTTCCCCCCTCAGGAGAGTGTGAAAGGGCAGCAATGACTCATCTCCGTGATCCCTTTTCCTTCCTACCGCTGAGCTGAACCAAACCCTGCACCTGTCCATGAGGTGGCAACATTTGTCACGCTTGCTGAAGTGCTTGGATGCAAATACATGACCTGTTTCAAAATGTTTACTACCTGCTTTTTGTTTTAATGAATAAAAATGTACATAAGGTGAGCTTGGTGCTAAACTTTACAGCGTCTTCCCCTTTTGGAGCTCGTGCTGAATTGTGCTGCTCTTGTGAATCTGCTGTATGACTGCCATGGGCTGAGGGGCAGAGAAGAAAGAAGGTTTGAGGTGTTCAGACATAAACTACTCCATGTAAATCAACAGCAATACGTCGTATATTTTTTGTGACATCTGATCTGGATTAGAATTTGATATATGAAGCATAATTTATGAAGTGCTACAATTCTTGAGTCACAAAATTTCCAAAACTCTGTAGCCAACCTTATTTACAGCTTTCAGCAAAGTGGGGCAGGGTGGTACTGCTGGGGAGGGACGGCTTTTGAAGCTCCCACAGCTCCTGACTTTGTGGTTGTCAGGATGGCTGAAAACCTTAGAACCAGCCAAGCAGAAGTAAGAAGCTCTTCTTTGGGAAGCTTTTCTACCCACAGCAAGTTGTGAATAATACCACACTTCCACTCAACCTTCATGAAAATATCACAAACAGTCAAAAATAGTTCCAGATATACACTAAGAGAATACAAGGGGAGTGTAGGAGACAGCTTTACAGATGTCCCTACATGAGTATATGGATGCATAATAAAATTTCTAAATGTTAGAGACATTTTCAGGTAACATATCTCACTTCCTGTGGGAAAGAAATTAACCAGTTGGCTTAGTACATGGCCCTTGCTGGAATATTTCTAATGCTGCTTATGATGGGGGTTGATGAGAGACAAGATGCAGATTCAAAGGTTTCAAACAGAAAAAGAAGAACCAAGCATGACTAGACCCTCAGAACTACCCAGCCCCAAATTTGATTTATAGAAGACATGGAATAAAGGTCACAGAAAATTAGCACTGACAAAATTTGGTGGTGCTGCTATTTTTTTCAATGTGCTTTCTTCCACACCAGCCTCACGATCATTTCAAATGTAAATCCGAAGGATGAGGATAAAAACTTTTGTGGAATATAGTTAATTTGACTGAAATTAGGTTAACTGGAGAAGGAGTAGTCACTGAGGATCCATTAGACAGAGCCACTGTCCTTACATTGAATGCACTTTTGCGACCTTTCTGAAAGACTCTGATCAGTGGTGGAAAATCTGAAGCTGAATCAGCAGAGTATGAGAATGAACAAGGTGACTGAAGTGCGGATGATTGATGTAGGCTATAACTATGCTGATGATGAATAGTAGGATTTATTCTGACAAACTAGAAATATTTCTATATATCCATGTCGATGAGTTTATAAATTACTGCTGAGTTTCTTACTAGCTACCCTAGCAATACCCTGCTGTCATCATGGATGAGGTCTCACCTCCTTCAGCCTCCCTGGGGCCAGGATTTCACCCCTTCTACAGGTGGTTTTAAGAACTGTGCAAAAGATGCAGAACAAGGCAGTTGTTCAACTAATCAGAAATCCCTCAGTAGTTTAGTGCAGTATGTATTTAAAAAATAACAGAGAATTTTTTCATAATTCCTGAGTCACAAAGTGTTATAGTACTGTAAAGATTACAGACTTACAGTGCCTGTCTCCAATGGCTGGTCCAAACATCAACGGGAGCTGGGGCTTGTTCTTACAAGAAGAAAGCAATGGAGAAAGAGACGCAGCTCATGTAGAGTTGCAAAGAAATTAGTGCCCATGAATAGCTCTGACTTCATCAACAGCTGCATTTTCATACATACAACATGGAGATTTTACAAAAAGGCTTGCAAGGGTGCATCCACATCTAATGCAGGAGAAAATTTATTCTTTTTTGGCAGTGATTTACCTTACTCAGGTTCTCCCAGAACCTTCTGCTTAGAATCATAGAATCATAGAATGGTTGGGGTTGGAAGGGTCCTCAAAGATCATCGAGTTCCAACCCCCCTGCCATGGGCAGGGACACCTCCCACTAGAGCAGGTTGCTCAAAGCCCCATCCAGCCTGGCCTTGAACACTGCCAGGGATGGGGCATCCACAATTTCCTGGGCAACCTGTTCCAGTGTCTTACCACCCTCATAGTGAGCTTCTACCACAATAATTCCCCTAGCTATTGTGTCTGGTTTTGTGCAAGTTGAAAGAAGTGTATTGACTGTTTGAGCACTTTCTAAGTTCTGGTGCTTCTGTCCACCATCGTTTACACAAGTGAGAATATATCTGTTTTTACCAGTGGTTAAATTTTTCCAGTACCCTGGAGTAACTAGTTTGGCCAGGACCATTCAGGTGCCTTCTGCTCCCTTCATAACTGGAGCAGCCAGCCATGCCAGGAGAATAGTGTGAAAGACAGGATTCCCAGCAGGAATGTAGGAGATATTGCATGTCTGTGACCTGTGAGCAAAATGCACACAGCTGAGTATCCCAGGATTAGATATTCCCTGTGCTCTTGTGTTGGCAGAGACGGCAGGGAAGAGTGAGAAACAGCAGGTTCTTGAGGGTTGCCTGGAGGTCGGCACACGGTGTGTTTTAGCCCACATGATTTTGAAACAGAAGATTTACTCCATCCAGGAGTAAATGCTACCTTGACAGTAACTTCTCCAGTTTTCTCAACAACAGAACGGCATAACTTACAAAAGAGCCTTAACATTGCTAGTAAATATGCATTGGGATAAACACACAACTTGATTAGCAAGTCTAATCGTATACAATACTAAATTTTTATGTGTTCCTAGATACCGGAATGGCTCCACTAGAATATTGGATGGGAGATTAATAGCAAAAAACTGCGTGTTTTTTATCTCAGCTTCCATGTGACATGTCTTGTACTCTGAACAGGCAGATTCATATAAACTGTACAATACACAGCAATAAACATGGGGTAAGTTCAACTTTACTTTTTGATTCTTCTGTGTGTTTATTAAAACCATTTAAAAAAACCATGAAAACAATAGAGAGGTAGTTCATGTATGCCAGCAAAGTTGAAATCACAGAAGTGCAACCGTTATCATGAAGATTGCCTGAAAACTATACATGCAGATGTCTTTAAAAAGCAACAGCTTAATGGCAGTGTTTGTGTTAGAACAGAAAGTTGAAAAACATCATACTGCTTGTTATTTGACATTAGCCTTACATTTGTATATGGCTATATTGAATATATTAGATAACCATGTATTTGTATATACAATATTGTATATATTGAATAACCATGGTTTTTAAGTATCTAGGCTTATCAAGAAGCTTAGAAGTACAGTATTAAAGTAAGACCAAGCCTGTTTGTCGAGCAGCCTGTGACCATCAGTGTTTCTATGCTGTTCTAGGTTGAACAGGTGAATAACCATCTGTAAGGTGGTCCTGGAGTGAGAACATGATGCACAAAGTACCATAGGTGGATTTAATGTTTGAAGTGTTGTATTGTACTTATAGTGCCTCCTCTATCAGTGACCAATGCCTCTCTTTTCCCTAGAATGGAGCAAGGGAAGAGCTTTCTTAGACCTGAACAGAGGGACCAAGGGAAGAGTGGAACAAAGAAATGGATATTCCACAGCAGCAGCAGTATCTCTAACTCTTTCTGTCATTTGGTTCAAACACTGGCTTTGAACAGACAGGTACTTCAGACAGGTACATCATTTGGTTAGAAAACATTGCTACTGGTGTTGCAGTTGCCAAGAAGGATTTGTCATAAAGCTCTTCCAAGGGACTTACCACCACCAGACAGAAAAGG